TAAAACAGCAATACAATAATGATCTAGATTTCCTATTATTAAAGATTGAATTTGCAAGCACAGCCTGCACAGTTGCACCTGCAAACATTAAGAATGAAAAAATTGCATTGAGAGTGCAAAATGGCTAGATGATTTATGCATACAACTGATGGTTTTAATACAAACAAAAGCCCCAGTTCTGCAAGGATCTCCACATGGATGGACCCTGGTTTCTCTGCAGAGCTCCACTGAATTCAGTGGGGCACTGTGCAGATTTAGGGATCCATCCCTACAGCTCCTTCCAGGATCAGGGCCAACATTTTCAAGGTACAGGTACAATTATTAGTCAGCCTCTAACACTGGATGGCCTTGAGGTCAAGACACTGAACTGAGGCTTGGATGAACTAGTTCAATTCCTGACTCAACCAAAGACTTCCTGATAACCTTGGGCAAATCATTTAGTCTCCAGATGTTTCAATTACTTGCTTGTAAACAAGGAACACTCTGAGGGCTTGTCTATATATAAAACGACACTAATGGGAGGGGTTCTCCTGTCAGCATAGGTAATCCACTTCCCCGAGAGGCAGTAGCTAGGTTAACGGAAGAATTGTTCGGTCAACCTAGCATTGTCCACACAGGGACCTAGGTCATCTTAACAACGATGCTCAGGGGTGTGGATTTTTTCACACCCCTGACTGACGTAAATAAACTGACCTAATTTTTTAGTGTAGACTAGGTCTTAGATCGTCTTGTCCAATTGGACCGTAAACTCTTCAGGGAAGGGACAGTCTCTCACTGTGCATATATACAAAATGTGGCTACAATTTCATTTGAGGCTTCTAGGAGCTACTGTAAGATAAATAATTGTGCCCGGAAACCACAGGTCATCCAATGTTAGAGGCTGGCTAAAAATTTGGTTGCAAGTGCTTGGACAGTTTTAAAATAGACCTTCACAAAATAAGAAAGGTCCAATCTTACAAACATTTATGCATAGGAGTAACTTTATTCATGTGAATAGTCCCATCAATGTGTCCACAAATCAGAACCTTTGACACAAATTTTGGTATAGTATCAAACCTGTCTACATAAACCTCTTACATGAAACTTAAAGATCACTCATAGTTTAATAAGTTTCATTTTAACCCTAACTAAAAAGGGTAAAAATGTATAACCAAGCTAAATAATTTGATGCCTAAAGTCTATAGTATTCACACTTCTTCCTCCAGACTACTCTTATTTAAAAAAAAAAAATGAAATATGATTAACAGCTGCAAAAATACAAATGATCCAAATACTTCTCCCTATACCTAAATACAGTGGAAAATCTTATCTGTACAGGACTTATACAGATTTTTACAAGCTTGTCCAAATATCAAATATGCCCTGTAACTAGAAATAGAAGGCTTGCACAATAGAACAGAAAAAACAAAAGCATTTCACACATTCTATATAAATAATTAAAGTATTTCCATATTCCAGGGCCCCACAAACAGAAATATATATATTAGGGCTGTCAAGTGATTAAAAAAATTAATCGTGATTAATCGTGCCATTAAACAATAATATAATACCATTTATTTAAATATTTTTGATGTTTTCTACATTTTCAAATATATTGATTTCAATTACAGCACAGAATACAAAGTGTACAGTGCTCACTTTATTACAAATATTTGCACTGTAAAAAACAAAAAAATAGTATTTTTCAATTCACCTAATAGAAGTACTGTAATGCAATCTCTTTATCATGGAAGTTGAATTTACAAATGTAGAATTATGTACAAAAAAAACTGCATTCAAAAATAAAACAATGTAAAACTTTAGAGCCTACAAGTCCAATCAGTCCTACTTCTTGTTCAGATCAGACAAACAAGTTTGTTTACATTTGCAGAAAATAATGCTGCCTGCTTCTTGTTTATAATGTCACCTGGAAGTGAGAACAGGCACTGTTGTAGCCGGCGTCACAAGATATTTACATGCCAGATGTGCTAAAGATTCACATGCCCCTGGATGCTTCAACCACCATTCCAGAGGAATCATAGAATCATAGAATATCAGGGTTGGAAGGGACCTCAAGAGGTCATCTAGTCCAACCCCCCGCTCAAAGCAGGACCAATTCCCAGCTAAATCATCCCAGCCAGGGCTTTGTCAAG